TTGTTTTGCTATTTTTTATAGAGATACATACCAGAAATCTTTTCATTTGTTTTCTAATACTACCATAAAAAAAAATCACAAGTACAGTGACAAATGGCATTCAGCATTCTGCTTCAAGGGCCAGGGTGCAAAGGAGGGTGGTGGGGAGTGCCGCTAACTCCCAGGCATCTGACCCTTTAAAGGGGGTAGTCATTCCTAGGCTCTCACTGTTGTTCAGGGACACAGGTCCAGTTATGTCAGACCTTCAGACATGTTTCAGAAGCTAGAAATTCAAGATTTTATGTGAAATCTTATTTTTGAATATAAGTCAATAGTTTTTCTCCTCCTCCCCTTCCTCCTTCTTCTTCTTCCTTCTTTTATTCTTTCTTCTTCTTCTTTCTCTTTCTCCTTCTTCTTCTAAACATGTGATTTCCTTTGTTGCCCAGGCTGATCAAATCCTCCTGCCTCAGCCTCCCAAAGTGTTAGGATTACAGGTAGGAGCCATTGCACCTAGCCAAATAATTACTTTATGTAAAAACTTAGTGTGTGAGCCAACTGTGCATTTAAACAAAGCTCCATTTGAACACCAGATCTGATTTCTTATAAATGCCAGCATGCAACTTCTAAAACAAAATAGTAGATCCTCTGTGCCATCTAGTACCCTCTGTGATAAGAATTGTTAGCACAAGAAATTCTAGGTTGATTGCTTAGTGCTAATTGTGAAATTAAAGACTGAAGGATCAGATCTGACATGCACCGAGTTTCCAGCTGCAAACACCAGCATGTTGTCAAAATTCGTTTGGTGCTTCTCCATCCTTCCATCACTCTTCCCAATGACAAAAATAATTAACATGTTCATATAAAAGCACAGAATGAACGGGAGACCTAATTTATCCACCTATTTCAGGGTCAGGCCTGTTATCAATATATGACAAGTTAATGGGTCTTAATTAAAAAAGCAGCAGTAAAGCAATTTAGGAAACTGAAGGATTATTATGAGTTGTCACTGTGACAGCCTGTTTTGTGCACCATGGTAGAGAACAGATTTGCTTTCCATGGTATCACAGATCCATCATCCTGAAACTACTTGCTCTTGGTTGCAGAGAGACGTTTTCTTCTCTTTGAAAGAAATGCCTGGGCTAGTGGATGCTTCTAGAGTGACAGCAGCAATGCATGATGGGAACCAGGAAGACTATGGAAGCCAGCACAAGAGGGGGTAGTGGGACTGACAGCAGGCAAGGGTCCTCGCAGAAAGCATGAGCCAAAGATCAGGACATGGCTGCACATTGGGGACACTCTCAACCTATGGCTCTTCCCCCAGCCCCCACAATCCAGTAGGTTTCTGAGGACCTTCAGGATCCTCCCGACATGGCCACACTTCCTTTCCCCCCTGCAACTCAGTGGGTTTCTAAGGATTGTCAGGACACCCCCAACATGGGTTTCTAAGGACTGTCAGGACTGCCCCCCCACCACCGTTGGTATCTAAAGACTTTCAGGACCTCTTCCCCCGTGGGTTTCTAAGGACTATCAGGACACCACCCCCCCATGGGTTTCTAAGGACTGTCAGGACACCCACCTTCATGGGTTTCTAAAGACTGTCAGGATTCCCCCACCCCCATGGGTTTCTAAGGACTGTCAGGGCCCCTCTGTGGCCGTACATTCTCCAGGATCCTCTGAGATCTTTCTCAGTTAGGCTTCAGCCTTGACCTACAGAAACTTGAAAAAAACACTCATGTGGTTTCCAATGATGCCAGGCCACATTCCCTAAGATGACACCAGTCCTCTTCATGTGCCTAAATGAGAAAGCTCAAGGCTGCCAGAATAAGTTACCATTTCTTCCTGCCAACACCTGACGGCAGGGTCTCTGCCTCCCAGCCTCTGTGGGGGTGGGAGTCGAACTTCAACAGGAACCCGTTAGTAAACCCAGGTGGGTTTCATGGACCACCCCACTTCCTGATTTTGTAGCGTTTCATTTCCCTTACTCTGCCAAGCCTCCGCTCCTTCCCTCCGTAACCCATCATTCTCTCATGTTATCCTTTTTTCAGACAGAATCTTGCTCTGTTGCTTAGATTAGAGTGCAATGGTGCAATCATAGCTCACTATAGCCTTGAATTCCTGGGCTCAAGCAATCTACCCACGTCAGCCTCCCAGTAACTGGGACTGCAGGTGGATGCCACCATGCACAGCTATTTTTTTTTTTTAATTTTTTGCTGAAACAAGGTCTTGTTCTGTTGCCCAGGCTGGTCTGCACCTCCTGGCTTCAAGCAATCCTCCCACCTCACCAGCAAAGTGATGTGATCACAGGTGTGAACCACTGCGCCTGGCCCATTCTCACTTTAAAATGCCCAGTGACTTCTGTACAAATCAAAGTTGAGTTCAATTTCTGCTGGGCTCTCTTCCCCGCTGCAATAGTTGTTACTGATTAAAATCTGTCCTTCCCACTTTAGTGTTCAGCTTTATTCTACTTTGACAGAACTAAGAAATCTATTTTCAAAATATTTCTAAAATCCAGGTCCTCTTTGTCATTACTTTCTGGCCCTCATCATCACTTCCCTGGAATGGTGCGGAGGCTGCTTCCCAGCCAGTCCCCCTGCTCATAGCTCATCTTGTCTGTGGTATTTGGATCACATCCTGCCTGTTTAAAATACCCTCTAATTGCTCCAATTTACAAAGCAGAAATTAAAAACTGACCATCTGACAAATGTATACTTGGGCTAACTGTGGATTTATCACAATGTTAAATGTTTTCCCTTAAAGATGAGATCTCACGCTGTCGCCCAGGCTGGAGTGCAGTGGTACAATTATAGCTCGCTGCAACTTCAACCTCCCTGACTCAAGCCATAATCCCACGTCAGCCTCCCAAGTAGCTGGGACCACAGGGGCACTGCACCATGCCCAGCTCATATATATACACACACCTAGCTTTATTACGAAAAAAGCACTTTAGAAGGCTGAGGAGGGAGGATTGCTCCGGGCCAAGAGTTGAAGACCACCATAGGTCTTCCTATGTTGTCCAGGCTGGTCTTGAACTCCTGGGATTACAGGTGTGAGCCACTGTTCCTGGCCTTGAATTCATTTCATGGGTAATTGAAAGATTTTGCACAAACCCATAGATTTCTTGCAAGACTGGTCTACATTCCTGGATGACAGCATTGAAACGAAGTGATCCCATTTAGACAGTGTGTGCGTTCACCAGGTGGCCCAGTCCTATCCACTCTGTTACCCCTCACTATCCTCAGTTATGAACTTGCCGGCCCCCCAGGCATCAGCGTTTGCCCACCATTGCAAACAGGAGAACTGAGTCTGGGAAAGGGGAAATGAGACCCCAGGATACAGAAAGGTTCTAAGGAAATGTGGAGACGTTTCTTGCTAGGAAGGGTAAACAGCCTCAGGGACTGAGCGGTTCAGTGCCCACAGTGAGCATGGTGGGAGGTGCATCTCCAGAGAAAAGCAAAGTTCACAGGAAAAAATGTCAGTTCAGGGACCCCGGCGCCTATGTTTGTCACAAGGTAAGAAGCCGAGCCTTCCAACACAAAAAGGAAGTACAGCACGTCTCCTCAGAACCAGCACATCTTTAAACATGACCCAGGTGGCATCACTCAGGGTGGCCCCTTGGAAAGCCATGAAAGCCAGAAAAGAGGCTTTCCCTGCCACGATATTGAAATGTCTGTGCAGGAAGCCCTTTGAAATGCCCGAATCAGAGAGTGGATTCGCAAACCAAGCTTCTGCTTTATTTTTAAAGACTCTTAGCCCAACTTTTACTTTGAGAGTCAGGGACACGTGGAACATAAATTCTGGGCCCAAGAGCCATGTGGTCGCTGGCCAATCGGAAACCACAGTAGTGCCTCCCAGACCCGGCTCTTAGCCCCACTGCGCAGCTGAGTGGGCCTCAGAAACGTGCACTAAATCTCCCGGACGTGAGCCTCTGTGTACCACTTCTGCCCTCCTCTGCCTTGCCTGGCCCTGACTGCCTGCCTAGGGACCTGCAGTCTATCTGGCCCTCCATAAAGCTCTTTTCAGTTTTGTGTAAAACAGAAGGAAAGTAAAATTAGAGCCCAAATATAACAGAACTACTCAGGCAGGTAGCCAAGAAGCATTCCAAGCTCCTTAAGGTATTTTCCTTTCCATTGGCCTCTTAGGATTCAGGTTTGCCAAGGCTCAGAAGCAAGAGCCCAGGAGTGAATATTGCACAGAACAGCCATGAACCTGGCCTTCTTCTGAGAATGCAAAAGCCCTTTACACAGGATTTCCCGAGGTCAGCCCAAGCCCGGGCTCCCCACCCTCCCAGAATGCCTCAGCTAGCTGGCAAAACATTGTAAGTGGAAAGAGAGATTTGTCCGGAGTCAAAAACCATTTCACACAATAGCAAGACACATCCTGGGTGGAAATCACAGCTACAGAAACTGTGTCCTTCTTCCAGTCTTCACCTTGGCGCATCTGTGACCACAAACATGGTAAATTCACATCTTGTTCAATTTTAGATGCATCGTTTTCTCTATTCAAATACTTTACACTTGTGAGACACGTTACGTGGAAGTGATTTAAACTTGTCTTTTAACATGGCCAATAACCATCTTCTACATTTTTTTGAGTCATTAATTTGATATCTTCACTAAAAGAAATGCCAGTAATTTGAGGGTTTTCAGAGTGAAGTGCCTTGAGCACCTCCAGACAGCAAGGAAGTGGAGGTGTCGCTGTTATTATTCTGAGCCGATAAGAAACACATCACGGATTGGACACCAGGAATCCGTCACTGCCTGCCCGGCACACAGATAGAGCAGGTGTTGGCTGTAATTGCCTCTAGACTTCCTGCCATGGTCAGCTGAAAGTCAAACCTGTAAATGCTGCCTGACTGCAATAGAACTGGAGTCCACAGACATTTTTGCATCACTGCCTGGTGAAAATATACTGACCTGGTAGGATGAGGCAGAGAGGGACACGTTCGGAGCAGACGCGGCTGGAATAGCAACCAGCAAGCTGTCAGTCTTCACCGCCTTTTCTTGTCTTCGTTTCTTTTTTTACTTCTATGGCCAAAAGAGATGACAGACCTGTAAAAAAAATGGATTTGGTCATTTCCAGAAGAAGCTTTTTCTTTGATCTGTCCAAGAGCAGGTCAGTAGAAGGTATTTGTGTTAACCTGGATCCTCACTATGTATATTTCCTGAGCTTCTACATGGCAGTTCCACGTTTTAAAGTTCCCTTCGCTGTGGTAGCACAACTCCACACCAGACAGTCACCCTTGTTCCTGAGAGCCGCTGTGATCTCACTCATAAGTGGGAGCTGAACAATGAGAACACACGGACACAGGGAGGGGGACGTCACACACCGGGGCCTGTTGGGGGGTGGGGGGCAAGAGGAGGGAGAGCTTTAAGACAAATACCTAGGCTCAAGGTGTTTCCAGCAGATCTGAGGGAGGACTAAAACAGATGCACACACTTTGCTCTTCTGCATCACCACCGTTCACAGGCTCCCAGGAGCTCCTGTGATCGGCAGAGAGGAGATCATTCAAGTGGCTCCCACCTGGTACCCAAACCCCCGCAGCCTTCAGACCCAGCCCTTCTAATCTCCCATCTTCCTGGGCATCCTCCCTGGACAATCTGGTCCAGAATGGCCTGCCTCCTCTAGAGGCCCCAGGGCACGAGGATCCACGCCCTCTATTCCATAGCATTCTTGACTTCAGGTCAGGGGCTCTTTATCAAACATTTGTCCAGAGAGCAGCCCTAGCCCGTAAGTGTGTGTGAACCACAGAGTAGAGGTGTGGCCCCCGCTCACTATCCCCTCTGACCCTAGGCCTGGGTAAGACTGGGCTTTCCAAAAGCAATATAAGTGCACCAGGAACTTTCTGCGGTGTTCCTGGGAAAAGTAGGAAGGAGAAGGGAGAGAGATAATCAAGTAGGGGCGTGATTCAAGTCTCATTCTTGCTGGCACCTGCAGCGCAACTCCCAGTGTGAGCTGCACACCTTGGAGCTTGTCCCAACTTGAATCAAGGCAACGAGACTTAGGCATTGCTGTGGGCCAAGATGGGGAGACAGGAACCCTCTGGATTATCACTCTCAGCTTTCTGCATCCATGAGCAAAGTCCAGAGGCAGATCACTGAGGAGAGACACAGCGTGGCATTAGGTGCTGAAGAACACGGATGCGGTGGAGTGGTCCTGGGTGGGAAGGGGTGGGCAGAGCAACCACCAGCTTCAGGACCACCTTTATGGGTCAGCCTTCTCCCAGCCACACAAGGCGCACCAAGGAGCCAGAAACCAGAACTTTCATTTCCTTTGTGACTCTACTGGGTGCTCACAGAACCAGGATGGGAGAGGCACTGTTTAAAAAATGAACAATTACATAGCAATGTTCCAAGCATACAAGCATTAATTCACTTAGCTTCTCAATGTCTCAATTACTTCACGGGTAAAGTAAAGCTAATAATAATACCTACTTCATAGGCTTACAGGGAAGCTCAATAGCCCACTTCAGGTTACAGAGACGATCTGCCAAGGTTTGAACCCGGGCAGGCCAGCTCTGAATCTAAATGCTTAACCAAACCATGAAAATGAGTGCTGGCTCATAGAACCAGACAGATCCAGGTGCAAGTCCCAGTTTATATCAATAAAACTGCATGTCATCCACAATAGTTGAACTAATTTACACTCCCTCCAACAGTGTAAAAGCGTTCCTATTTCTCCACAGCCTCGCCAGCATGCTGTTTCCTGACTTTTTAATAGCCGCCATTCTAACTGGTGTGAGGTGATTCCTTAAGGATTTAGAACCAGAAATACCATTTGACTCAGCAATCCCATTACTGGGTATATGCCCAAATGGTTATAAATCATTCTATTATAAAGACACATGCACACGTATGTTTATTGCAGCACTATTTACAATAACAAAGACTTGGAACCAGCCCAAATTCCCATTAATGATAGACTTTGGGTAAAGAAAATGTGGCGCGTATACACCATAGAGCCATAAAAAAGAATGAGCTCATGTCCTTTGCAGGGACATGGATGAAGCTGGAAACCATCATTCTCAGCAAATTGATACAAGAACAGAAAACCAAACACTGCATGTTCTCACTCATAAGTGCGTGTTGAACAATGAGAACACATGGATATAGGGAGGGGACATCACACACTGAGGCCTATTGGGGGGTGGAGGGCAAGAGGAGGGAGAACATTAAGAAAAATACCTAATGCATGTGGGGATTAAAACCTATGTGACAAGTTGACAGAGGCAGCAAACCACCATGGCACATGTATACCTATATAACAAACCTGCATGTACTGTACATGTATACCTATATAACAAACCTGCATGTACTGCACATGTATACCTATATAACAAACCTGCATGTACTGTACATGTATCCCAGAACTTAAAATAAAAATTAAAAAATTAAAAAAAAAACTACATGTCATCGCTGAGCCTTCACTTTCCTATCTTCAAAATGGGCTTTTCCTTAAAAACAAGCCACTATTACCTGTATCTGTGTAAGAAATGTCCAGCCGGTGCTGAGGCCTTGCTGAGAACTCAAGAACTCTCAGCGACCACTACAAAATCCTCCGTAAAATTGACTGCTTGCAATCTTTGATACAGCAATACCTGTCCCCAGTAACTTCCAGGGACAGATGTGTTATGTGTGTGCATAGGAAAAACCTAAAATCCAGGCCACCCAGTACATTCATATGGTATTACCCAGGTCTACACACCCGGGGGCAGTCAGCCATGTCCGGAGACTTTCTGCGTTGTCACTGCTGAGGGAGGGGTGCTGCTGGCATCTCATGGGTAGAGGCCAGGGAGGTTGCTAAGCACCCCACAATACACAGGACAGCCCTTTTGCTACCCTTTCTTTCCAACACAACAACGATAAAAGCAACTGCCAACGCACATATTCAAGGCACAGGTCTGAGTATATTGTAAAGGTGATCTCTAATACCTCTCTGAGGAAGGATCTCCTATCAGCCCCTGTATAGTTAGGGAGACGAGACTTGAAGAGGCTGAGTAATTTGTCCAGGATCACACAGTAGACGGGGGAGCCTGGATTTGAATCACTGTCATGTAGAGACCAGAGTGTACACACTTCACCTTATACATTGTTCAAGAAACTTTCCTAAGTTTGAGCACAAATTGCAAGGCAGAAAATGAAAAAGCATGTAACCTGGTAGTTCTAGCAACTGATTTACTTCCATAAAAGATTCTTTGGTTGCAGGAAGCTTTATCTCTGTGTTAATGATGGCAGTGTATTAAATTATGGGCTAAGCGTGGTATCAATCTGTAAAATAACTTATGAAATCTAAGCTTTACTTTTTCTCATAGTTATTAATGGTTGGGGTTAGACTCTCTTGGGAGCCCCTCAATTGGAAGGAAGATTGACCAAAATGCATACACAGGACTTGAACCAAACCCATGTGAATTCAAAGGGAAGGCAGATTTATTATCTTTTGCTCCCCAGAGGTGGAGGTAGCCAGCTGTTCTCTTCATCACTGGGGAGGATATTAAACACGATTCTTTACACACGGGGAAAAAAATAGTTGATTCTGAGAACAGCGTTGGTGAAAAGGGCCTTTGGTTGGAACAGCACACACATAACCTCTCCCAAGACAGCAGGTCACCCTCTCTGGAATCTCATCCTCGGTCTCCAGCTCGGAAACTTGGGACATTTTGCTGCAAATCTACTAACGTTCCCTAAAGGGTGACCTCTAGTGCTCATGGTGATCCCACCACAGGGCTGCAGGCTGCCACTCTGCAAAGAGAATTACCTTAGTCAAGGCTGGTGGAAACATGAAAGCCTGCCATTAAAATAAACACATGCTAGACTGGTTCTCCGGGAATTAGCCATTTGGACTCTCCTCAGGAATCATTAACTGGACATTTTGCCTGACTTTGGTTATCCTTTGGAAAAAGCAATCTTTTTTTAAAAAAACAATAGAAAACTACAAAGCACTGTACAAAGAGGACTTTGGGCACCATCAGTTCCTCTCAAAACTCCTATGATGAGATTATTACTCAGAAAAGCCTAGGTTATTCCAGAGTAACAAATTAACGCTGAAATTCCAGTGGCTAAAAAAATCTAAAAGTTGATTTCCTGCTAATGCAAATTATGATTCTGACCAGACAATTCTGCAGGGCAGTCATCCTCCATGCAGTGACTCAAGGATCCAGGCACCTCCACACTTGTGGTGCCACCATATCAAAAGTTGGCTTCCAGGTCACCACAGCAAGAAAGAACAAAATTGGGAGTTTTGGATCGCTTCCTAAATACTTTGGCACTTCTGCTTATAGCCCATTTGTCATAAGTAGTCATAGAACACCCCAAGTGCAAGGAGACTGAGAAATATATTGACAGGACATGAGAAATACCTCTGTCATCATTTATTTGTGTTACACACACTCCAATTATGCTCTTTTAGTTCTCTTACAATGTACAGTATTGTTGACTGTAGTCACCCTGTTGCACTATCAAATCTAGATCTTATTTATTTAACCTAACCACATTTTTACCCATTAATCTCCCTCAGATGTAGATGAGCAGCCTGATGAATGTGGCCTATTCCAAATATTTTTTCCCATCAACCCAGAAACTAGTGCTGATTTTTAGAGAATTTTAGGTGATACTTTGGTAAAATTACTGAAATTATACTTCTCCTAATCATATTATGCTATTTTCTATAATCTTGTAACTCTAAGATCAAATTTAAGATAAGGAATATATTTATGCCCCATATCCATTAGCAACAAGATCATTAAATTTCTTTAGGCACTATTATTTAGAAAAAAGAAAAAAAAACCTTTCCAATTATTTTCAGCAGGAAAAAATTTACAGAGCTTACAGCTTAGCATTTAATCACTTTTCTTTTTTGCATTGGTGAATCATTTTGAGCTTATGATAATTTCAAAATAAATATTTTTTAAAGCCTCAGGGCATTCATTATGTAATGATCATTTGAAAGATTTTTTGGTTATGGTGTTCTGAAATGAATAAAAAGGCTGTTCATAGCAACACTTATTTCTATATTAAAAAGATGAAATTGCTCATTAAATGGTACAAGTCAATTTCTTTCATCAGCGTAACTGCCCATTTTAGTGAAGATTCCATCTCTGAATTAAGCAAATGGCTCTACATTTCGAAGTCAATACCTATATTCTGTTTTCTCTAACGTGAACATCTCAGACACCTCAGTGTTGTCAGCCTCTTTATTACGCCTCTCTCTGAAGAGACTGAAGACAGCGTTTTGTTGTTATTGTTGCCATTGTGTGTTTTGTACTTTTGCTTTTTTTTAAGGCAATATGTTTGTGTGTTAGCTATGGTCTGGCTGGTCATGATATTTTTAAAAAGTATGGTGAGGCCAAGTAGCCCGTTTAACAATAAATGTAAAGTGCTCACATTTCTGTTGGTCTGTTTGGAATTTCCCTAAGGAGGGTTATTTTTTTCTGTAATAAAACCAGAAATCGAATTCAATAAACAATAGTTGGTCTGTGGGAGTTTGTGGCTAATCTGAGTGTGGAACAGCCTGTGGACTTTGTTTATTTCCTTTTCCCAACCAAACCCTTGAAACTAGAGGCTGGGAGGAAGGGGTAGAGTTGAGGGGCGTTGGGTTGGATGGAAGAAATGACCTTGCAGATCATTTTGAATTCTGTAATGCATGCAAAAAGTAATGAGAATGAGATAGCTGAAGCTTCGATTCTTTAGAGAGAGATTTAAATTCATTTGTCCATTACAGGAGGCAAAAAAAAAAATGCCATTATTAATTTAGGCAATTGGAGAACTCTGAAAGCAATATTTAATACTTTTTTTTTTTTTAAAAAAGCCTGTCCTGAGAGATCAGCCCACAGCCTAGGAAATCTTAATTTTTATAGTATTTCAAATGAAGAAAGGTCATTTCTTGGATGTGCTTGACAGAAGATTGTAATTTTAAACTGGTAATTTAATGAGAAGTGGGGTTTCCATAAAAAGGGAAGGAACTTTTGAGGAAGTAAAATTAGAGTACATGTTCTGTCCACCATGGCATTTCCAAACAGATCAGTAATCCCAACGTTGCCACCTGCTCTGCCACGCTTTCCCGAAAAACGCCAGTTCTTCGGTACATACATCTGCTTTTCCTGCCTTCTCAATGCACCAAACAAGACCTCAGACCTTTTTCCTACGACATCTGATCCAGGCGCTATTTCTCTGCTCTGACTGCTAAACAGAGAGAACATTGCATTTTGATCTTCCCGGATTTATGGCAGAGATGGGGCAGTCAGCCTGGGAGGGCACCCAGTGGAGTGAGCCCACAGTGTAGAGGGGTGAGTGCCTCCTGAGGAATCTTGTGCCCTCTGCAGTCCACGTTTTCTAGCAGATCCAAGAGGTCACTTAAGGAGTTTTGAACAACCTATACTGTAACATCCAGATGACGTCTCAGCCTCATCTGCGCTTGTCCCATTGTTACCTAACCAAACGGAGTCACTTTGCCTGTGTGCAATGGAAAGCCAAAAAACTGACACACTGGATGTTTGCAGAAAAAAAAAAATGCCAGTCAATTGGCAACGAGACAGGAGGAAACCCTCAAAGCTGTCTCCCTGAGCTGGGGGCTGAGCAAGGTTTTATAAGCACAGGGTAATAAGGTGTGATCTGATTGGATCTGGCACTGAGGTGATGCTGGGAGGCATCATCTGACCGATCCCGCCGGACGATGCCAGGGTTTGATGTGGTTGAATCCTGGATCCCGCCACATGGCATCCACTTTTAAATGTGGTTTCACTCCTCAGTTTGAGCACTTGGGGCTGCCCATGGTTGCGCACTTGATTCATCTGGGCATGCTCCAGCGATGTGACCTTTGACCTGCGGGTTCATGGCAACTGAACAACAACTCACAACCTCGTTACGTGAAAGGTTGAGCCAGACAGGTCTGGTGCAGTTACACATCCCCACAGGATCTGGTTTTATTGACTGTGGGGCAGCGTGGGCATTCAGTTTTTTTAAGCTCCTCAGGTGATTCTAGCACGCAGCAGGGGCTGAGAGCCACAGAGTTACTTTCTGAGAAGGAATAAATATCAGCAAAGAAAGAGAGACAGGAAAGGCCCTTGGCAGCAGCCTGGTGAGTAAGGGGTGAGGTGGCACCAGGCCAGGTTGGAGGATGAGCACAATGAGGACCCACAGGGCCTATCGACTGTGTTAGGATAAACACCAAATCCTGGAAAGCCCTGGGAAGTCAAAGAAGGGCGACAGCACAGAGTGATGC